AGCCATTCACGGCATATGAATTTCATTTATTTTCTCATTGACACGATTCGCAGCCATACCTCTATACATGCATACATATACATAAAATGCAAGCTCATACATGCTATTGCTATATATTGCTGCTGGTGGGGCAATTGCGGACAGATATAGAAAACATTTTAAAATTCCTGCATTGAAATACAATCACTATCATGTCGACTTTCCGCCCATTCATTTTTCATTCGCTTTATTAAAAGAAAAGAAATGAAAGGAAAAGAAGAAAGAAATTAAATTAGCTTAAATCCAATTATTTTGCATCAGCGAGATAGACGCGATGCATATACGCTGATAGACAGACAAATATACAAATATACATGGACACACACACACATACACACACACACACAATTGACGACATGTGATAATACATAAAAATAAATGCATAAATGTTAAATTGTGTTAGTGTAATTTTGTATTTCACTAACGGGATGATTTTTATGTCATAAGTCAAGGCAACTCATTTATGCAACTTCATCCTTCATCCTTTCGAATGATACGCCGCTTCAGACATAGTTAGGCAATAGTCAATTCATACACTTAGTATAAGTCCGATTGTATGTCTGCTGCAATATTCCCGCAACACGTAATGCCACATACATACAATTTAACAGATCTAAACTAAATTTATTGTTGCATACACACATCCATGCGCGCATTTTGTTCTACTTACATTTACAAAACATTATTCAAACAATGCGTTCGTATCGTATCTTTCTTGCATCCTCTCTCTCTCTATCTCTCTCTCTCTTTCTTTCTTTCTTTCTTTCTTTCTTTGTGTCATTGTTTCCCACTGTCTCTTCATTAGTTACGGTTATGTAAATATATTTGCTGGCTGCTAATATGGCGGTGTTGAAGTTGACTTACATTGTTGATGATATAACGTGTAGAGGAACTGAATCCGTTTGTTTGCATACTTCCAATTATGTTCGTCTACCTGCGTTCATATGTGTGTCCACTCGCAATTATAACAATGCCAATGACAATAATGGCCTGCAACTTAATCGGATTTCATGTTATGAATTGGATTAACGTTTTATAGTTTGCGTCATCGAGCATACAAACACACACACACACACACAAAAGTAACTTAGCACAAATTTATTATTATTATTATTATTCTATGAACGAATTCGCAATGAATTGCGAATTGTGATTGGATTGACATATCTCATGTTACAAAGAAACCATGATCAAAAACATTATATATGTATATAGAAGATGGAAGGAATATTTCGCTGACAACATTTGTGAAACAAAATTATCGTGCCCTACTTGAAGACATCTAATGTAAACAAAGCTTATGAAAAAAAGAGAGAGAGAGAGAGAGAGAGAGAGAGAGTAAAAGAACTGAAATAAACGAAACATTGACTGACTGAAGTTTGCGGCACTATGCACGTGTCAGAATACGTACTATGAACATGTCCATGTTCTTGTATTAAGCATTGAATAGAGCTGTGCTTGAGCGCATTTTCACTATAGTTGTGGGTGCTTAAGCAATTATGTATGTGGGTATGAGCAAAAGCAATGGAATCTTGAATATTTCACTTTCCTGCGCTTGCCCGTTTATCTTTAGTATTATTATATGAATATACCTGTGTAAACAGATTTACTTTCTTTATGGAGAATTACTATTATTTTTTTATATGTCTATCTACTTATTATTTTTATCTACTATACACATAGTTTTCTTATTACACTTAATTATTATTTCTAATTGAGAAAAAACAAAATTGGTTCTTAATTATTTCCAAATTTCTAAATCTCTATCATTATACGACTTTCCTAAAATGTCCGTTAAATAGATATATAATGAGCATGAATTCTCGTGGAATCGAACCGAAAGCCCATCACGAAAATGCACAATTCATTAATATGAATTTTCGCGCTTAGAACTGTATATATATATTCCTATTCTATTTAATTCAAATACTTCTTCTGTTCAATATTCAGGAATAGAGCGGAAGCTGCCTTTATCAAAGGCTTTTGCTCCAATTGGTAATATGTATTGCCTTAGTTCGTATCTAAAGAGGTGACAAAAGGGAAAGATATGAAAAGTGCTTTATTAGAAAGAGGAAATTTAACGGCCGATTTATACATATATATATATATGAAAGAAAAATATGTTCCATATATGATTATTGTCACTTTATTAAATATCAAATTAGGGGTAAGCACGCTTTGCGCTATTATTGATTGTTCTGAGTTAGTATTGGTTTTTTAGAGTCGCATTTATAGGAGCTGCCAGTTGAAAATAGAATAAATTCAAAACAAAATCGTTTACTCACAAACAGCTGAAGAAATTTATGAAAAGAAAATAAATTAATTCTATTCTTTTTTTTTTTTTTCTTTTTACTGCAATCGTCTAATTAATGCCCTTAATTCGCACAAAGCTTGAAATCAATTGTGCATCATCATCAATCTTTCCGTGCGCCATCATATACTGTCGTTATGCATAATAAAGCACAAAGGATCAAGAAATAATCAAAGCTCAGCATTCTACAGAATATATATTGGTCTTATCGCCAACAGACATAATCCATAATCCACAAACAGAACAAAAAAAAGATTGTCATTAAATAATCATGTGATAAGTATACATAAATTAGGCGAAATAGTACCTTTCGTTACATCATGTTATTTGGCAACAGAGCCAGATGGAGATTGGCCGAAAAGGAAACTTGTAAGACGAAGATGGCCTCTGCGGGACGCTTCGAAACCTTGTGCGAGTAAATGATTTTATACATTTGCAAAACAATGTAAATTAAAATACGCGTGTCACGCATATGGATTTTTGCAAAAGCGTCGCGTGTGCAAAGAGGCTTTTGAGAAGGCTATTAAGAAGATTAAGCGCGGCTGATGGCATAAGAAGAGTCTACATGTCTGCGGTGATACGTTTAGCGCTTACTTTGGGGTTGTTGGGCTCTGGAAGCTACCGATGGCTGGTGAGTAGCAATTTTGACTTAAGCATAGCGCAGAGCCCCTTTTTTGTTGTTGTGTCAAAAATTATACAATAAATGAGAGAAAAACTTTGCGCGGAATGGATTAAGGTCAACCCAACCTTTTTTTTTTACGCGAAATATGATACACACGCAATTTTCCACTTTGTTGTGCAATAAATGTGGCATCTCTCTACATAGTTGCAGTATCAGATAGTAGATGCATAGAATAACGTGCGTATCCAAATGTTTATCATATTTGAAAAAAAGACACTTGCTTTTGTAACATCACCCTGTGAATATCATATCGGTGACGAAGTATACAAAATTAACAATAAAAAAAACAAAAATTTAATTAAATATAAAAAAACAACATCTCAACAATGTTACTAACACTAACTGTTATAATTGAAACAACCACGCAATGACCATAGGCGATGTAGCAAACGACAACATGTTTGGGACAGCCTCTGTTCCTATTTCGAAGAAAGGACTTTGCTCTGGATTGGCATTGAAGGATATTAATTTTATTAGCAATGGGATTCAGAATGCTTTGCATAATCGCAGAGACGAATGGTAGAGCACTTTTTAAAAAGGATGAAGCTAAGACCAGCAATATGTTGGACGTTTCAAAAACGTGTCGAATTGAAATTGAAAAGGTTTAAAGTGGCTATTAAGCAGGATAATGAAGTTGACAGCAAGTTGCAACAAAATGTGAAACGAGATGAGAAGAAAATCGATAAGCTGGCTGACTGAGATTGCTGATAACGTACAGGCTGCAAAGATGGTGAAGATGGTGAACGAGAGTGCCAGATCAATGGAAGTCAAATCAGTCGAAGCAATCGCAAAACATTGATGAGTTGTTGACTTGCCAAGAAAAATGTATAGAACATTGTATAAAAGTGCGGAAATTACAAAAGTGAGTCGGATGTTATTGCACGCGACTCACCCGGTGATCATCAAGCCCAAATGGAAATGGAATAATACGACGATTAAGGCTAATTTGAACAAAAATATTGATTCGATAACTTTCAAGGTTTCTAATCCACGGTGCAGGATGAACGCTGTCGTTGTAATTAGCTCTGAAGGAGAAGAGGAACTAAGCTGAATCATAGATTCAAGTTAACAGATATATTAGTTTCAAGCATGAAAATGTAGAGTTGATTGATAAACCGCGCTGTCAGAATCCTATTTTCAAAGAGAACGTTTCCAGGGTTGTGGGATTCTGCGAGATAAACAGAAATGACAAAGTACATTTTAGCGCTGACTTGGAAACGGATTGTGCGATACGATTGGAAACGATAATTGTAGAGATAGATTATGCATCCGTATGGGATGGTGCGGAGTGCAGCGGAGAGCGGAGATAATTGCATGTTGCGGATCCACGATGCAAAGGATTGAAAAAATGATAGAATTGGTTTCAAATGTCATGGTAAACATAAGTCAAGGGAAAGCAACTGGGGCCCTATTGCCAAGTGCATAAACTGTAATGGGTCTAATGAGAAGTCTGGGCTAAGTTTCGAGGTAGATCATTCAACGATGAGTAAATCCTGTCCAGCTTACACTAGCAATATTAATCAGGGTTTAAGTCATAGTCACGGACAAAGAGGCAGATTGATGATGGATGAGTTTTCCATCTTGTATGAATACATTGTTTTGTGTGGTGACTTTGTTGTGAATTTTCTGCAAGTCAGTTTCCCTGGCAGTCAGTTGTGCGACCTGATGGCATCTACTAAGCTACAATTAATAAATTAAAGACCCACGCGTTATGCTTCTAATTGTAAGCGGGATCTCTTAGATCCCGCGTCTATCTATGCACTTCTTCTGTTCTTCAATATGATCAATTCCCGTTAGGCGGAATATCTCACCACGTGCTTGCCATTCAATTTTATTAAGCGATTGGAAGAGGGTTAACTTTTAGTCATAGACATAAGAAATGACTTAACGCAAAGCGATTATTTAATGCTTTCTTCAATGTTGGTTTGCGAATGAAGTTAAGAGGGCGATCAAACTTCGAAATGTTGCCTACAAAACCTGGAAACTTTGCTCTAGTCCTATCAATTGGTTTGCTCTAGTGCTATCAATTGGGGTGCTCTCTTGCAGAGATTCAGGACTCCCTATATAGACATGGCGTTGCTTATCAATTCCGACCCTTTACAATGGACGCAGTGTGGAAGGCTGTTTATAGTATTAAATCTAATGCTGCCGATCACGACAAAACATCTCTAATTCCAGAGGAGGGGACCACTTTCATTTACTAACAAACCTAACAAACTTGATCGCCATCGGACTGAAACTATTGTAAGAACTTCGCTTTTCCAACAGTAAATTATCATTTACGATGTCATATGTGAGTTCCACAAGCTCATCAAATATACGTAGAGTGCATTTTTAGAGCTGTGCAAAGATTTGAAGAAACTGACCCACAAATTTAATGACCTTGAAGATATTTTTAGCAACAGTTACCATCACTGGGAAGCAGCCGTGAAGATGTTACTTCATCCTAACCCAATTGTTGGTCTTTGGTTTCAACGGTTTAGAAGGTCAGATCGAATGGGACTTCCTGTCACACCCAGCGCACTCACCCGATATGGCGCCTTCTGATTACTACTTGATCAGATCCATGCAGCATGGCTTGACTGGCACGCGGTTTCGCAATGTTGAAGAAGTGCGAAAATGGATCGATGATTGTATCATTCCCAAACCAATATCGTTCTTTCAACGCTGCATAGTCATGTTGCCGCAAAGTTGGGAAAAAGTTATAGAAAATGGTGGAAAATATTTTGGTTAAGGTATATTGTCCTAAATTTTCGCAATAAATGCCATTTTCAAATGAAAAAGTTCTTAAAATTAATGCAAGCACGTAATATTTATAATCATTACCTTATATACGGCAACATACCTGCAACACTAGTTGCTTTTATATATACATGCATACATAGTTTGTTGTGTTATTTATGCAACCTAGCGACTTTCAGTTGCCTGGCGACTTCTTCAGTAGACACGAATCTACGCAAAAAAAAAAAAAAAAAAAATTGTCATAAACCACAACACACCACTCTTTCAAAGACAAGTCTTGGACTGTTTCGGAAATTATTATTAAGAATTAGTTTTCTATTTTTTAAAAATAAATTTTTATTTATTTATTGTCTTTTTCAAAATGTCCTTTAAGGAGGTTCGAGGTAATATATTCTAACTTATTTTAACACTATTTTATGAACTTTCTCGACTGAGCTTTTTTTTCTTTTTTTCTTAAATTTCTAGACTTAGCTGAGCATTTAAAACTATTGGGTTATCCTCATCCGTTTCCATTGCAAGCTTTATCCAGTAATTTTGGCTGCTTGGCGTCATTCTATGTTGTGGCTGAAGTTATCCAATGGTTGGCTGGTCTTTTAGAACCGGGTATCACCTTAGCGGGTAACATTCATACGCAAGAAGAACGCGTTTTACTTATACGATCTGGTACGGAATTTTTTGTCACAAAATCCGCAGTCAAACTGAATCCAAGAAAATTGTACGCCGCCTCTGCCGTAACCGCAGCTGAATTGCAAAAAATTACCCGTCTCCTTATAGCTCCCGAAGCGATTGATATCAGTGCTGATGAAGAGAATTATCATAGTTTAAATCAAGTTGACATTGGTGATAAAATGAACGATTTAAGAAAGGCTCGTGAGCTCTCTTCGGAACTTACCCAACGCGGTGCTATATTGCATGATCTGTTGTTAAAAGAAGTGCGTAATAAAGAGATTAGATTATCACAAACCAATCGACACCTCGAATTGTCCGGTGTAGAGAGAACTTTAAAAAATGCTATAGCGTCCGCTCAACTAAAGTTACAATCAAATCGGGCTCAGCTAGAGAATGCTCGCATTGAATTGAACGCCCTTAATTCCAAATTGCAGCGTAAAAGGGCGGAATTGGATAGAACTAAACAGCGTTTGGAAGCCTTGCAAAAGATACGTCCTGCCCATATGCAAGAGTTTGAGGAATATGAAAAGGAGTTGAAAATACTATTTCAACATTATTTCCTACGTTTACACGTTAGAGATGCTTTGAAGGCTCAATTTGAGGCGAGAACAAAGAGAGCTACGCCGGCTTCGTCGCCAATATTACAAAAACCAGCTGAGAATTCAATTCCATTTCTACCGGAAGGTCTATTGGCGGACGACGATGAAGATGTAGATGACGATGAACCTCAATTAGAAGATGGAGTGCCTTTCGGTTTAGATGCCGAAACATCTGATGTACGTGACGAAGATATGACCGTAAGTAAAACTCATCATCGTTTCACTGAAAAAAGACCAGGAACAGCTACAATAACTAACGTTCGTGGTCGTAAGAATGCTACCGCTACAATAAAACGTGGAAAAGAGCGTCCTAGTTGTGAACGCCGCAAGGATAATGAATACGAAGACAGTTCTTTCGGCAGTTCCGATAGTGAACTCGATATGGCCGAAATCTTGGGTGAAATTGGCAGTAATCGCACTGCCGGGCTCGGTGTTATATCCAAGTCAAATTTAAATGAGCTAGAGGACGATGATGATTGTAAGTTGTTGTTGTAGTACCTAGAATTCTTAACTTATTTTACTTATGGCTTATTAAATTGAAATTGCAGTTGATTTAAATTCAATGGAAAGCATAAGCATTTCAAAAATCACGGGAGATTTACCGCTACGACCAAAGACTGCTGCCAAACCTGAACATCACAGTGATGAAGACTTTTAAGTGAAAATTTTGAAAATGTATTTTATTAATATTATTTTTAATAATATAGAGACGATAAAATTTTCTTAACAATACATATATAGTACATATGCTTGCATATACAATCGCATTAAGTATATATATATATATACAGTCGTTATATTCCATACAATCCCTTGTCTACATGACAACATCACGACAAACAATTTTGGTTTTTGATGAAGATCTTGTAGGATCGGTGCGACCATAAGTTTCACTACCGCCGGATGAAGATGTATAATCCATTCGATTAGCAGGTTGGGAACGTTCTTGCCGAGCCAAAAAATTATCTGCTATAGCTCGGTCCAATCCCGTATATTGAAATGACGGATTGCCATCAATAACATCAGCATCTGATTTGCGTCGTTGCTTGCGTTTTTCATCGGTTTTGCCAGAACGCAACAATTGAGCAACACGGCGTTTGCGCCGAGCTTCTGTCGACTTTGAACTTTTAGCAGTGCGAAACGTACCTGGCATACTACCAGGTGTGGGTGGTGGAGCATAAATAATTGGCATAGAACTAGCCCTCATATAGGGTAAAGTGTAACCACGATAAGCAGTTAGGGCATGGGTATGGGATGGTGAAAGCAACGGAGGAAGCGCCTGTTGCGTCGACATCATCACACCCCGATGCGTTGGTAACTAGACGAAATTTAAGTCTTTAATAAAAAATTGCAAAATATATTTAAAATTTTAAATTAATCACATTAGCTGGCGCTGGTATTAACATAACTGGTCTGGTTGCGGGGGCTAATTTTGGCACTGGTGTAACCATATTATTGCCGTACATCCACAAGGTAGTTAATTTCTCTTGAGTTCCCTAAAAATGCAGGAAACTTTATTATAACACATAAAAGTAAGCATTTTAATTAACTTCTCTACCTTATCAGAATTTAATACCAAATTATTAGTATTTGCTTTTATAATAATGTCATGCAGTTCGGCATTTTTTGACCTGAAAAAAATAAAAGAAGAACAAAAAAAAATGTTTGAATTATGCAAAAGTTAACATTGACGTTATTTTATTTCTTTTAAAGTATATATGAATGCACATATAAATAATTATAGTAACGTTCACTACATCTAAATCTTGAGAGCAACTATAGCAAGTGTATCCACTCGCGCTCGTTCACTCCCTATCGTAACAAGTCGAAATTACGAGTGTAAGCTCATCATCTGTTTCTTTTTTTTCTACAAGTTGAACTTCTGCGAGTTTTATTAACAACCCTGTTTTATGTATTGCTATGGAGACTTTTATTGTGACTATTGCTTTAGATATGTGAGTTTCGGTAATTAAGACTTGTATCTACTATGTACAAAATCGCATTAACTTGTTGATTATCTACACGTTTTCTTTTTCCACATTTGTCAAATTAAATTTTTTTCGCTAATTCGTTGAAACCAAGCAAGATATCGTCTCGATTCAAATACGGCAACCGTAGTCTCCAATTGTTAATGGTTTCGTTTGTGGCAACGCTATGTCGAAAAACATGTAAAAAAACATTTAACTAAAATAAAGGCCTGTGTAAAATATAACACAAATTGATAAAAATTTTCAGTAATTACTTTAAAATAAAAATTCTTTAATGTAACCGCAAATATCCGAAAAAACCAAAACCAATCAAGGCTGCAACGGGTTATTCCAAAAAAATTTATAGTTTGTAATATGTGTAAATAAAAGAAATAGAAAAATCATAGATAAGAAAATTTTTATTGATTTTTCGAATAATTGCCTGTGTGTGCGTAACAAAAGAAACGTTGAAGAAAACTTTGCTTTAGTTTTTGATTGAAAGCAAAAAAAAAAAAAGGAAAACAAACACAAAGATATGTCGAAAATTCAATAAATTTTAATTAATTTCGTTAAGACAGCATTTTTGGAAAAATATTAATTCGGAAAATATATATACAAAAAAAATTCTAAATTTCATTGAATACGTGGCACAAGGCAAAAAGAAAAATCTAAACAATTGGGAAAAGTAAGTGCTCCCCTCTCAATCATAACTATTTTCGGTTGATGGGATACTTTAAAGACACTCCTAACATAACATAACAATAAATTAGTTTATTTGCTGTTTAATTAGTTTTTTGTTCATCTACATCCGCATATAATATTCTTATAGAGTGCGTGTGAAGTGTTGGGTGGTAGCGATTATAAACGCAGTAACCAAACGAAAAAAATTTAAAAGAATCGAGACGTCAAAGGAATATGTTTGCTAATATCAAAAACCGTTTGGCTTCGGTTATAGCGCCTGATATGCCAGCACTGCCTTCATCTAGTGATCATCATCACGCACATCGCATTACTTCAAGTAGTTATCATCAACGTTTAGTCCATCAGCAACAGTTGCAAGATAAATTTACCTACAGCCGCCCTCATTTTTTGCAATTACTTACACCCGATGAATTGAAGGCGTCAGCTGACCACAACGTCAGACCAATCATTGTGCCACGTGATATATCATTGCTACCGTGGGGGACAGGCTATGCTGAGTGTGTCAATTCCGGTAAATCTGAGTGGAACGAAGATCAAGGAGCTTTTTGTCGCCAGGTGTTATCAGATCCAACCCACCGCTATCCCGATTTACCATACACCTATTTCGGTATATTTGATGGGCATGCCGGTTACGGTGCTGCTTTGGCTGCTTCACATCAATTTCATTACATATTACATGAAAAGCTGGTGGATTGTTTAGAGATGTTGTTACTACGTGAGGGTATGGAGGATGTGGCTCACACATCTCTTCACAGCCCGAATACTGCAAATAGTATTCCACATCCAAGTCAATTTCATCGTACAGTTTCCAAAGATGAACTCATCATGGGAGCTTTGGAAAGTGCCTTTTTCCACATGGACGCTCTGATAGCTCAAGATAAAGATCGTTATCGGGACGCTGGGGGCTGTACGGCTTGCGTATCACTGTTTATAAACGGAAAGATGTACGTTGCAAACGCAGGGGACAGTAGGGCAGTACTATGTCAACGTAAAATATCTGTTGAAAATGAAAAGATACCGAATGCCGAGGCAATCGGTTCGGAGGGCTCCTATGCGATACCTTTCTCTTTTGATCACACTCCTGAAACAGAAAGAACCCGTCTGTTGGGTGTAGCTCAGTATAAGCCACATCTAATGGGAAAATTCTATGTAGCCATGGAATATGCGAAAAGACCGCATGAAAAAGACTTGGGCCAACGTATATTATGTCGTCAAGGCACAATGAAAGGATGGACCTACAAAACGTTAACACGAGACGATTTAAGAATGCCGGTGGTAACTGGCGAAGGAAAACGTTCTCGCTTACTTGGCACTCTAGGAGTAACAAGGGGTTTCGGTGATCATGATCTTTTAGCAATCGCAACTGGTACTTTACTTAAACCATTCCTAACACCACAGCCAGATGTTAAATATAAAGATCTCACAAAAATCGTCAGCATTCCAGGTAAGTTAAAGTAATTGAAACTAAACTGTGATGGCTTCTTAAATCTTTCTGTTGAAGATGAACAAAATGAAGACGGTGATTATGGAGTATTAATTATGGCGACTGACGGTTTGTGGGACGTGTCGGAAAATGATGCGGTGGCCCGTACGGTATTTCAAACACTACACAAATATCCTACAGAAAGACATCGTTATACTATGGTAGCTCAGGAACTTGTAGCGAAAGCACGTGGGAAAATTAACGATTACGGACATTGGCGTTTAGCCGATAGTAAGGCGGCTGCTACCGTAGATGACATTTCTGTGATGGTTATACCCGTTTATCAGTATTATAAGGAGCATATCGAATGGGAGCAACGGTGTGCGCGGGAATATCGTGAACGTTTAAAACAAGAGCAACTTGCTCAATCGGCTGTCGAAGCTAAGGAAGTAGATGCTGCTAACACTGCGGGTGTCCTGGTAAATGGTACAACAGAAATGGCTCAAGTGATAGTAGAATCACCTTCTTTAGGGCATGAAACAGTTGAAAAGCTATCTAGAGAAAATGAACAGGATGCAGGTACTCTACAAACTAAAGAGCAAATGGAGAAAAATGTCAGTAGGATCGCTAATAATGCGGAGGAGCAAGTTAAGGAGACAGTGCAAGAAATCATAAACAAAGTTACTGAAGAACTTGATACAGTAAATTTAATCGAAAATAAATCGACGGCGAACGAAAAAGGTAACTAAGTATTTTACGATAAACTGACGTAGCAGCAAACATTAATGATAATCAAGAAAGACTGAAACATTCGTAAAGATTTAATTTGAATTTTATTAAAGAAAAAATTCAAAAACTCTTAAGTACAGATGGAACGGAATGTTAATGAAGCAAATGTAAAAGAAAATTAAAACAAAAGTAAATATTTAAATAATTTCCATTACACTTTGTTAAATAATAAATTCCTTTAATTAAAATGAAAACTTTTTCTTATATTTAAGCCTTCGTAGTGCAGAGCAAGTCGCCAAATAAAACAAAACGCCCGAAACGTCAAGAGGATAAAAACAGACAGCCTGATAAACGTTAGCAAATGAAACGCTCGACTACTTTATATGTACACCTCTATATCTATATATATATATATACGTATTTAAAATTAATATATAAAATTATACATATATATATATATATATGTATATGTATGCATAGATAGATATTTGGAAAAGGAACACACAACAGCATTTTTGTGTTTTAGTTTTTTGGTATGTAAAGCTAGTTACACACAGTAAAACGATAACAACTGCGTTCGTAGATAATAAGATTGAAATTAATTTATAAAATTAATTATAAGGGCCGTATTCTTACCGCGCATGTAGAGATCAACTAAAACAAGACAGTTCTCAAAATGTAGGCGTTACGGACGCACATACACATACCTCCTCCACTCCCTCTTTTTTCCACATACACACACACACACACACACACATACACAAACACGCACCTACACACTTACATATGTAATTAAGCTTTGCAATGAACGAACCCCTATACCTTCCTTGAAAAAATTGATTCTCCTCTTTTGATAGAATTTAACTGTAAATTATTTTAAATATAAATTTCACTAAAAAAAAAAAAGAAAACAGTAACGAATAAGCAAATCATACTTAATGAGTGAATATTATTACATAGCTTGTAAATTCTTAGACAAAAACTAAAAAATAAAATCAACGATAAATGCAATATGGACAAACAACAAAAACATTTTAGTACATATGGTATTGATATGTAATTAAATTGATTAATAATATGCATAAGATTATCAAAAGTAATAAAAAAGGAAAAAAAAAGAAAACTTAAAAATTATCCCAAAAACTAACTTTTAATAAAAAGCAAAAATAAACCCTTTAAATTACATTCTCCTACATGTTGTTTGTCAGTTGAAGAAAAATGTATTTCATGGACTTTTCACATTAATCTTCACTTAACATATACATATGTATATATATAATATACATATATATATATATAATATATATAATACAGAGGTGCATTCTTTGTTTGCCTTATAAGTGCTAGCATATGTAACAGATACGCACTTATAATCCAAAAGAGTTTCGTAATCTATTTTGCAATTTTTAATATTGCAGATAAGTGAAGCCCTTTTATAATAGACGAACTCGATGTAGATAAGATGTCCAAAAAAAAAATTCATTTGATTTATATAACTTATACTAAATGGTTGATGCGGTGGGATTAAAAGCGGTTTTTCGAATCACTTCCCGCATTTTTCGACAATGATTTTTATGAGCTTTTCGAACGCAAATGTATTGGAATTACGATATACTTTAGCGAAAGTACGTCACCGTACAATATCGGGGTAACGCGGTATCTAATATGATTTGCATATAAGTAGCGGTGTTCGAACACATCCGATAAGCAAATTTTTTTTTTTTTAATATAAGATAGCTACGACTTTGTAGGCAAGTTTAACAGCACCACAGCCGCAACGTATTATATAAGCGTATATAAGCATTTTATAGCATTTCTACGGCATAATTTGCATACATTAGCTTTGCTCATGATGTACACCCTTTAGACTAGTTTTCTATTCGTAACACAAACTTTTAGGATTACGTACCGCCTACCTTTATATATGTAAAATTGAGGTCGGGAACATAGTTGCGGCCGTCAACATATTTGTGAAGGAAATTTTATTATATTTTGTTGTTTTAGTTGTAGCTTTGTCTTATAGTTTTCACATTATCTACTAAATGCGTATATGTACACACACGCATACCTATATAAATTTGTTGTTTGCTGTCTGATAATTGCTAACATGTAAGAGATATAGGTTATGCTCTAAAATAGTATTAGAAAGAGAAGCCACACGACTGCGGTTGGGCGCTGAGAAAAACAGCGACTTATTTCAAAGTACCATCTTTAACCTAAGTGCAACTGTATAAATTATCACAACCAGGTGGTTGAAACCCGTTTGCATTGAGGTTTGCGAGAAAAACTATGTTTGGCGGAAACTTTACTTCTTCTGACCAAATTCTTACAAGCGATGAGCAGTGGATTCGCTACAATATTTTAAATTATGAATCAATTTACGCTAGCCAACTGGGTGTTCAATAATGGATTCAATTGTGATGGAATTTGATGGGGATATGCAAAAAGTCATGATATTGCGAGTTTTCAGTTCGAAAAATGATATATGAAAAAATTCGCTTAGGAAAAGTTTTCGTAGTTCTGCCCTCCTCGCTGTTATAATAAGCAACCACTACTCTCTCAATAGACGATTTATTGTTTAACCGAACGACAATGTACCGAAATATGCCTCAAAAGATCATCTATTCTTTCCACATAGAATTCATGTTGTTTCTAAAGGACAGGGGAAGCAACCCGTAGCGATGGGTAATATTCCGAGTAGTAAATGTATTATTAGTTTTTTTGTGATAAGGACTCGAATACTGAAAAAAAGAAAAAAAAAAAAACGACTGCAATTAAACACCTAACATATATATATGTAATGGATGCACAAATAAATTTCTTTTGCGTTTTTTGATAAAATGCAACTTTATTTAAATCATCACTTGTTATAAAGCTCAGTAAACGAAGCATGGATCATCATTATGTATAGTCTTTCGCCATTTATCAGACAGCTTATGCATGCTCTCGCGGTAGAAACTTGCCGGTTTGGAGCCGAAATAGCCATTGAGCCATTTTTGCATATCTGCAACTTTGTAGCGGTGGCTGATTTGCTAAATGCGACAGCATCGATCTGAACTAGCGGTAATCGAAAGTGGACCAGATCTGGACAGTATAACGTTTGCAGTAAAACTTTCCATACCCAGCTAACAACTATTTACATGATTGTGTTTGTTGGAGACGGACAAACGTATACCAATTTTCGTTACTCGCCCGACTACAAGTTTTTGCCTTAAATCTTGCGAACCATTTTATAGCTACTTCGTAGTTTACCGCATTTTCGTTCCAAGTTTTTGCTGCTTTCTATTGCCGCCAGTTCATCCAGTTAAAAACATAGCAAAACGCATTGCCGTAAATTACTTCCATACCTTTAAACTTTGATATATACTGAGGCAATAACTTATAAGCAACTGTTAGTTACACGACATCTTAGTTATCGATCCGTTATAATTTCGGGTAAATTGAACGCGACAGATACGTTTTATGAAGCAATCAATTTCGGCGGAAAGAATTCATTTGTACACGTACTGTAATATTCAAGATTCTGTTTGATAAGAGTTAAGCGACAGTCAAACAATTCTTTAGTAATTGTGGGACTATCAACGCATCAATAAAGTAAAATGTTGTCTGCGATCTGTTAAATAGTTCTAACAAGACTCGAAAATGTATTTCAAGATCAACGTTTCTTTTATGTTAAAAGATCACCAATTGCAAGCTCTCTGAGTATTGATATGTAACCATATAGATAGACTTCATTCATTAACTGGGTAATGTACAGAAGTTCACACCAGATATTGAGTAAAGTGCTTTTTATTTCTTCTTGATTAGCGGTACATTTTCGTTAATTTCTCTTTGTAAATGGAACTTCTTACATACACATGCAAATTTGAAAATTGGAAATAAGAATAATCGGTCCGCTAAGATAGTATCTACGTAGAGGTCGTAAAAATCGCAAATAACGATTTAAAATTTTACAAAAGTATTGAAGATGTTTGTCTACAGCCTTCACTACCCTTAAGTAATCGCTAATAGGATATCGCCAACCATATGATTGATTGGCTAATTTGCAATGACGGTTCAGAGCAGATCATACGCTCGATATTGCAGACATCAGCATGTGTGATTGACTTACTTCGATGGATGATTTCTAGTAAGCGGTTTGATCCCTTGTCTATTTGTTTATTTATTTACTTATTTACCGAATTAGATTGATTTTTAAAAATAAATCCTATCTTCTCACTACGAATGAAACAAAGTACATGTGTTAATAAACAAGAGAAGAAGAAGAAGAAAAAAAAAAAAAAACATTTAAACATTCAATATGGAGGCACACTTCCAAACGGAATATATGTTGGGATTGAATCTCTAAACTAATCCAAATATAGAGAAGCTTGGCAACCAATTACGGTAGACATATTCTAAGAATCTTGCGAAGTTTTAACGATTAACAGTTAGTTGAAAGGCGACGCGACATAGATAAAGCTTGTTTTGATCGAAATTAAGGAAAGAAATTGAGTTATAAAGAAGTTATCTAGAAGAACGACTGAGAAGGAGACACCAAGAATAATCCCATGTTTGTCTATTGAGTGTATAGCTAGCAAAACCGGCACATTTTCATAAGAAAGTAGCGTGTAGTAGAAGCGTGTCCCAACTCAAATTCTTTAGCGCACAAACTAGGAATTATTTCTGAATTGACTTAAATCTGAGTCAACATACCATATAACTGAGGGATATTCAAGCATTGATCTCACAAAGCTAATGAGTAACCTGCTGTGAAGCTCTCTAGATCATCGTTCAATAAAGCCAATTACAAGCCTATTTTTATTAGATAGTTAGATAGCTCAGTGTGTAAATTAAAACGAATTTTCTGATTAGACAATACGACAAAATCAATAAATGAATTCACATTTTCAATATTTGTATGAATTGATGAAATACTCAGACGACAATGAATTCCGTGTAGAGGGAGAAGGAACGCTTAATGTCATAAAATTTTCCGAGTAAAAGAATTTTACATTAACCGAACTGTATCAGCGAAGGGAGGACACGGTAAATAGCAAGGAGTCTAAGTGGCTCACTTGAGATCCCACCCGACTTCGCAGAAATTCATCAGTTGTAATGGAGTTGAAAAGAATTTTGAACGATCTGTTATGGAGTTAAGAGCCTATCCAGCCTATCAATTTCAATAAAAGTATGAAGGAAATCTCAAGGCCTGGAATTTACAGCTGAATAACTAATAATAATTAAATAATGAAAGATTTTATGGTAAATTACTTTTAGAAAACAATTCATTAAATATAATAAAACTGACCAGGTCTTCAAGACTATATGATGATTAGTCCATTTCAGGTGGTCTAATTCCTTGAGACTCCTTGAGTCAACATAGAACCGTTTTAATACCATATCTTTTTTCTTATTATGAAATACATACATTATGAATTTCGTTTATGAACAGCTATTAATGAACAGTAGAACTGTTTAAGTCCTAACAAAATATGAACGTTTTTAGAACGTTTTTTATGCTTATTTCACGTATTATAAAAAATTCTGTACCCCATCGATCATAATTTGTAGGAAAGTTTTCTACACGTACCATATACATGCGATTGGCCGACATGGCTGACAATCATTCGCACATCATATGGTTAATATTTGGAAATAGATTGTGGGCGTAGTCCCAATCAATCTGTACGATATCGCTAATCAATCATACGCCCATGGCAGACTTGATAAATGGTACATGACCAGTTACTTGCAACAGATTATACGATTAAGACAACCTAGAGACACGCATAGGCAAATCAACGGCTGCCTTGACTGCCTCTTGCCGAAGACTCTTAACTTTTATAATGTGTATTAAGTTCTATATATGTATGCATAGGTTCTTTTTTTTTTTTTGTTTTTTCTGCGAGAAGGAACTTTTCAGAATTATCAAATACAGGGGATCGTAGTAAAGTCGGGATTGAAAGAGTGACCAACAAAATTAGAAATGTTTAATCTTGGCCTGGTCGATAGCACGATGATAGAACAGCAAAGTTCAGAGCTTCCTACCCTACCCTAAATCGAGTGATTGGAAGCAAAGCAGTATCGATTGTCCACTCTTTAGATGTTGTGTAACAATTTTGTTTTATTTAGAAAAAATGCGGCGGGTCAGAGGAAGCTATATAGCATAATAAGTGACATGATTCGACGGTCGTTCGTTCAGTCGTTGATTTTATGTTTTATAACTTGAATATTTCA